TATATATGTATATATGTATAAAAAAAAAAGAATGAAGAGTATACATACAAAGCCGACAGAGATAAATAACAAATGTGTGACAATGGATCTGAATAACACTGGTGAAATAATCCAACAAAATCTGAACATATTTAGTTTACGGTGAAATCGAATCTGTCCTTGAACCATTAATTTCTTTTCACTTACAATCGATTTACTTAGAATCGATCGACAGTTTAACTCACTGAGAAACGTTAATTCAGAGATCTGAGATCTTTGGAAAGGGTAGGTTCTTTCGATATCAGGCATTCGTATTTCAAGAACAGAGTCCTATCTATTCAAGGAATAACTTCTCGATGTTTTCCTTACCGACTTGACAAAATCTTTATCGTCAGTACACTCTGCTTTCGTCCGGTGTCTTTCCTCCTCGTCTGGATTTCGTTCTTTAGCATCGTCGTCTTCTTCCTCCTCGTCTTCATCACCCGCCTCCTCTTCCTCGCATTCCTCCAGTTCCGGTTCTTCCTGCAGGTCCTCCATTGACTGTAAATCAACGATACGGTGCATTGAATCTACGCTCAAACGATTTCATTGAATTTCTCTTTTCAGTTCTTAAAACATATCGTGCTTAAAATAATACACATGTCTTTGAAATATTTGTAATTGACAAATGGCTCGATTGGAATGGACGTAAAGTCTGTAATATTTTCTGGAGGAAGAAGTATCAAGAATAATAATAATAATAATAATAATTTTCAAGAATAACAACTTTCAAAATGATTCCTCTCTGCAGAAATATTTTTCACGTTATCGGAGAAATTAGCTGTTTTCAATATTGAAAAGAAAGAAAGAAATGTTTTGAAGCATTTCAAAGCGAGCCTGCAAAGTAGATAAGACAAAGAGTTTTTTTTATTAATATTGAAGCGCGTCGATTGTCGAACCATGCGTGACTCCATTGAAAGAGAAATTTTCTTTGAAACTCGTAGAAGCACTATCGGGAAATCCACTTGGCAAACTGCTAAGAACTTAACGTAACGTAATTTTTATAAAAAAAAGAAAAAATCTTTACGAATGGATTCGGTTTCGGAGGTTTAGTGATGATGCCTGTATTTACCCCTAGGAGCTCCTTCTTCTCTGGCTCTTCATCTGCTGTAACACACAATTCGACCTTAGCTTTGCATCTTTTCTTCCTCCCTTACAAATTTAAAACCCTTTTCATTATTAGTATCAGCGAACGTAACGTAGGATATTACAGGTAAGCAGTCACAAGGCTATTGACAACGCGAGCGATAGATAAATGGACTATTTGGAAATTCCAAGCAGCCAAAATAAAATCATAAAATCTTTTATAATAATTTCCTCAACTCAGAATTCAGATCTTAATGATCTTAACAGTACCATCTTAATTACAATAAAATTTAGGGGTAGCTGAAATTTCAGGATACCTATAAAATTTCTTCACTTTACCTACCCCGTCTCTACTCGTTTCCGTCACCTTCGAACGAGCGTGGTCTAGAATTAACCCTAGGCCTACCACCTCTCCGTACGAGCGTTTATTCTTTGTTCGTTCAAAGCACCCAGCGTTAATGTTTAAAGTGTATAGAAAGTATAAATGGTGTATAAATTTCCAACCTACCCTTAATATGAACCTTTTTATCATTAATTAAGTCCTTCGACTCCGCGTTGGCCAGCGGTTTATACTCTTTGGCCGGTGATTTCATGTGCGTGCCATTTGGT